GGGGGTGGAGTTGGACTGCTGTGGGCGCTGGGGAAAACATGAGTTTGGGGCTGAGGCTGTCCCAGGGAGAAGGAATCTTCCTCTCCCAGCCAAACCCAGACAGCGGTGCAGCCTGCCTGGCAGGGTGTACAGCTCTGCCTGGGGAGGAGGAGGACGAGGATGAGAGCCTCCATCCTGGTGCCTGTGGTCCCGGCATGGGAGAGGTCAGTGGCAGCGCTCTGTGTTCCCTGAGTCTACAGTGGTCCAAGTGGAGGGGCAGATGGCAGGCCAGAGGCAGGCAGGGTCTCCTCCCACGTTTACACCTGAGCAGGTGAGCCTAGAGCCCAGAGTGCTCACCTGAAACACCATGACCGAAAGGTGGGGTCAGCTGAGCTGGGCTGAGTTTGGGGCAGGGTTGCCTGGAGCGCCCTTTTGCTTCCTGCCCTGGGGTCTGGCTTGTCCATCTCTAAAGCAGCTGGCTTGTAGGCTCTTACCACCTGCCCTGTGCCTCCCCAGGAGAGCAGTAGGCTTCGGCAAGGTCAGAGGAAGAGGAGGCCATCTGCAGCCCAGGAGCTTCCCCTCAGGCCCTGACCTTGACCTACCTAGAGGAAGCCTCAACAGCACACCCTCCCGGGCTCACTGTCCTTGTCCCTGGTCCTACCTCTGTGCCTTCCCCATGTTGCTCTGCAATGTCCCCTGCCTCTCTTTCACCCTGCCAAGCCCTCCGTATTTGCCAGGGCCTAGCTTCTGGAACCCCCGGCTCACATTTCTCCCTTCCCCAAATGGCACCTCTGTCAACCACACGCCACCTTTCCTTCAGTGTCGAGTGCTGTCTTACGCTCCAGTTTCTGCGTGTGTGTGTGCGTGCATGCACCACGTGGTGTGATCCCCAAGTAGACTGTGAGCTCCCTGAGGGCAAGGGACTGTCATTTCTCTGAGTCCCGACAGGGCCTCGCACAGGGCTGGGCTCATCTCTCTCAGGAAACACTTGTCGACTGGCTGTGAATCAAGTGCTGGAGACCAGGCGGATCGACCGGTGGCGGGGTGCAAGGGGAGGGGGCATGCGGGATGATTACTGGGCTGTGGGCTGGCTTCCAGGGTCAGTAATGGACCCCGGAGGCCTCAGGTCCTCCCCTCCCGGGGGCAGCGGAAGCAGGAGGGATGCCCCATGGCTGCACAGGAGTGCACATAGACGATTGCCCAGGTTGGGTATTCCTGAAGGTCACTGACACCTGCGGGAGCTGACCGAGTGGAATAAACGTCCTCGCAGCACGTGCTGGTGTGGAGAGTGCTCATTCGGGCTCAGCTGGGAGCAGGGTGGTGGCCCCTACTTTCACCCCTTCTCAAGGGGTTCTGTTCAAGGTAACCTGGTGGCCAAAGACTAGAAAACACAAGAGCCACAGTGATGGGCTGGCGCAGGCTTCCCTGCATCTGGATGGGGCTGCTGTTTGGGTTGGGGTGACACAACAGGGCCCTCTGTAGGGCCCCTCGAGTCATACTGTAGCCCAGCCGCTTGCTCAGCCCCAGTGGGGCCAGGTGTCGGGTGGCTCCCATCCATGCCTGAGACGTGGGCCGCAGAGTGCTGGCGTCAGATCTGGCCCCGGGGGTGCCGCATCTCCAGCAGAGGGCTTAGGTGGGGTCGGGGGCCTGGTACCCGCATAGATGCGACTGCAGAGCACAGCCAGAGGCATTGCCTCCTCTGTCATTGTCCTGACGATGGAGCCTGACAGCTGCTGCCTCCCTTCACAGTTGCATCTTCTCTGGCAGAACCTGCCGGACAGCGGGCAGATGTGATCCCAGGCCTGCCACCAGCTGGCCCTGGGATGTGGGTGAGTGATTTCCTTCCTGTCATGGGGCAGGAGCCTCCCGCTCTGCACCTTGCTGTCCAGCTGGGACCTGCAGCTGCTCGGGCCTGTGTGGGCCTGGAGGGCCCTAGCTGATGGAGGGCAGCCCCAGGCAGTGCGGTGGCCCTGCTGGGTCGGGGAGGATAATGGGGAAGGAGTCAGTAGGGCTCTTGTGCTCAGTGCAGATGGACTAATGCCAGAAAGGGAAATTATGGGCTCGTTTAACTGGAATTGCTGTGGCTTGATGGTGATAGCAGGA